AAATGTAATTGTGTAATGAATGGTTCAAGTTTTGGTTTCTTGAAGTAAATTACTTTGTGATGTTGTTGTAGATATGTTTATTTTACTATCTTTTGTTATGTTAAGATAAGTGTGGATAATAGAGGATAGTAAAAACATTTCTAGCCCCAAAAATCTAAGCAAAATGAAGATTTCCATACTGGTATTTGATTAGATTTCTAACTTTAGATAATTAATTTGGATAATAAAGTTTCAGAGAGAGTGGGAGTAGCCGATGATGAAGTGATAAACTTACACAAGGCATGGAGAGACACTTGGTGGTTATTTGCTTATTTTTCTTTTCGGTTTCGGATATTTGAATTGACACGTGGGATAATCTAATTGGAGGGGTGGAGATTAGGCGTTTAAGGTCTGAAGATGAAGGAGAGTGTAAACTGTGGGTCCCATTGACATGTCTCCGTATATCCCCTTAATTTCGAATCTTTATGGTCTTTGAACAACTTTTCCTTTCTTTCATTTATGTTTTTTTTTCGGGGCCCAAATGTATATCACTAAAAGCCTTTTTATCTACGAGACAATTGCATAATCATTCTGACACCAGATTCTCTAATACGCATGTTTGAATTTGACCATGTCATAGCTTCAAGTATTAATAGTATAGACAATTATACGCAATGATTCTTCTGTCTTAGGTTTCGAATGGTTATATAACAATGGTTTTGTCTTAGGTTTCGAATGGTTATGCCGTACGGAGCAGACCAAAAACAAGAGTACACAATTTTGGTCGGATGCTCTGATGCACTACCATTCGGAACCTTAAAAATCGATTTTGACGAGAAAAAACCTCCAGATGTTCAGAGACGATAATGCTACTATTAGTATTACAAACGGAGAAGAACAGTGTAAAGTAGAAAAACCTATGGAAATGGCCGAACAACAACTCTCTCTTGCTATTATAGTAACTAAAGAAATTTACCTCAGCACAACGCATTTCAATGGTAATTACATCATACGCGACACAAGTATTTCAAACCTTTTATCGAAAGGGAGAATTACCATCAGTGATATCTCTCACTCCTTTTTTACTTGTTTCCCCTAAAGTAGAGGTAAATTTTCTGCAGAGAGACATTGAGAAAACAATCAATTCAGTAATTAGCGGATCCATTTGAGCTTACGCACATTTCGAAGAAGCCATGGAAAGATATGTAAAGTATGATCAGAGGCGTACCTGAAGAACCCATAGACTTAGAAGTGATTCCAAGCAGAAGAGAGCAAAACCGATAAAGTAGAAGATCTGCATTTCATTCATTCGAATCAGAATTCGCTTAACTTAAGATATAAACGTTTTATGTATAAATGGATGGATGGTTCGTACCCCAGCTAGTAAACTGTCTGAGATGACATCAATTGCTGCAAGCACACCCCTGTTGATCAAAATGAGGATGGAAACAGAGTTATCTCAATGCAGTAAAACATACAGAGAGAATCTTCTAAATCGTTACAGTTGAGAGATTTCTCTATTGCAAAATATTTACAGAGATAATTAGTTTTCGCTTTTAAGTTATATCTCAACATTTTAAATCTACCAGAACAACTAAGAACTTTCCAAGTGAAACCCTCACCAGACTAACCAAACTACACATGAAGCATCTGAAAGCTCGAGCACAAGAAGAATAGTAGGCTATGATTTGATGACTTACGTTAATGATTTTCCATGGAAAAATATCGGAGGGGCAATGGCGGCAACGATGCAGAAGCCAATGTGAATCTGTGAACAGCTAAGTTCAATGATATGGAAAATGGAACTTATATCTGCTTATATATGAGATACAGATTTAAATATGACAAGTTTTTATAAACTCACCAAGTAGGTGAAGAAAAACCAACCAAACTTCAAAGCGCTGTCAGTCCTACAAGGTCGTAAAAAGTATTTCAATTATGAGACCTATCTTGTTAAACATGTATCAATGCACAGTGGAAACTAACCTACAATTGTATTAAAACCATTGGAAGAGAACTAGATGAAAGAAGTATTACCTCATTGCTCTGTAGAGGGGCCTGTACCATAGCACATAAGACAATGGACATCCGATCAACGCATATATCGTCGCAAGGAAAAAGATTTTGACACCTACAATTAATATTTTAACACCAGCATTAGTTCAACCAAATCCAATCAAATCTCATAAAAATGGTTACCCTATAAGATCATTATAGTAAAGTATAGAGCTCACCTCCGCCTTTGATCCAGCAGACCATCGTAGCAATGACATTGAATACCAGACACAGAACTATACCTGAAATTTAAACTCGAACAGTTCAACCCCATCAGTTCACCACATTTATACATTTCTTTGGAAAAAGACAGACAAACTAAATTAAACTTACCCAACCAACTTGCAAAAGCCAGATACTGCAGCTTTTGTGCATGAACTGGTATCTCGTTAGCAATGTCATGGTGTATGATCGGGAAAAAAGGTGGCCAGTTTTTATCATCAATCTGGACACCAGCTGCAACACAATTTCAAGAGTATGGTTACTAATCATCCACCAAAATATTCATACAAATATAGCGTTCCGAGAAGTCATCAGGTTGTCGTTTGCTTACATTTAGCAATAGCATCCTCTCTTCGCTTGATATCCTGAATGAACACAATACAACATAAAAATCACCAATCAGCAGAAATCAAAGAGAAGCAAACTGAAGATATATTTGACGCATTCATATAAATGGTACTAACCATTTCCTTCTTCCTAAGCTCTGCTTCCCAATCAGCAAGCTTTCTCTGTTTCTGCGAAGAGTCCTGCACCAATCAGACATATTATAAAATAACAATAACATTAAGAGAGAAGTGTTCATGAGTTTATGAATCCTAATGTCATTACATTCATGTTATCCAGTGGAATATCAACAGTCGCATCAAGGCTTTGGCCAAATTCAACAGGCCTAGATGCAGCAGGAACCCTTCCACCGCCTTTCTGCAACATTTCACCACAAAATTACAACAATCTGTAAGAACTATAGCATATCAATTGCCCAATAACCAAGAAAAACTTCAAACAGTAAGTTTGTTCCTCTAAATCGGACCATATTACTCGATAACAGTACTCGTTGCTTATAAAAATCTAACCTAGTTCCTAGATCTAAAGATACAGTTCCGATACAATAAACTATCTGTAAATCCATAGATCTATCACTTCAACACTGTTAATAACTCATCTCAAACACACAAATGAGTCTCTGTAATCAAATCGAAATCACACAGTCCTCAAGTTTCTGCTATATTCCACTAACACAAACGAAATCAAAACTCCAGAAAAACTCGAAACAAGTAAGAGATCTAGATTCCTCTACCGTAGCCGAACGCAGAAAACTCAAAACCGAAAGAAAAAAAAGAGGTTATTCATGAATCTGAGAATGCTTAGCCAAAAATAGAAAACTGAGATTCAGCGAGAGTGCGTTACCGAGAACGGATTGACGATTTCTTCTTCCTCGTCGAAGGGATTGGGATCGTGGTGGCGATTCATTGTTGGTTACAGATCCTTACGAAACTGAGAATATTCTCCGATAAGATCGGCGAGAGATCCGGCGAGGAAAAGAAAAAGAGAAGAAAAAGATAGCACCGACTGTTGTGTAGCGAACTGATATGGATGGACTCACGTTTTTCTTTTTCTAACTCACACGCATACAAATGCGAAACGCGGAATTTGGAACCAACGGTATTTTACGAAAATATCCCCCAGATGTACATGGGCCGTTGCGGTTATTTGGTCTGGATATCAAGGTAGGCCCAACTCATTTTACTGTACTGTATAAATTTATATTTTTGAAACCGAGTTTGGATTGTTTTTAAAGCATACTTTTGTTTTTAAACCTCATTTTACTGTATAAGTTTATATTTTTGAAACCAAGTTTCAAGTATCAAATGCT